CACTCTCAGACATCCTGACTGTGCAAGTCTTTGGACCCACTCTGCAGAGGCAGAGGTGGTCATCAAGGGTATTTTTCTGAGTTCCCAACTTTGAACATCTTTAAAGAAAGGGCGTGGGAAACGTAATAGAACGTTGTGGAGTTCAACCATTCAGAAGGATGGGGAACTCAATCTGGGCATTGCAACCCGAGGTCAGTCAGCGACATGGGGTTCAGCAATCAGCTAACTGAGATCAAGGGTCTTGCATCGTCACTCTGTCTGAGCCATTAAATGGTGAATATACTATATTGAAAAGTTTGTTCACTGCAGACGTTCTGGACTGCTTCTTGATTTCAATTTAATTCAAATGATTTAAGGGTGACAGACTAGTGACTACCACAGGTGGTCAGTGTCCAAGTTGTGCTTGATCTTAATGTGTTGCTGATTGTATCATTGGGATAAAGCATTGCCGTTGATTTGATGAGCTGTTTTCTCTGATGTTATGAAGATGAGAATGTCTGTGGGTCATTAGAGACACAGAAGCTAGGGTGCAACTATATCAGGAAGATTTGAGTGATAATCCAGAGGATAAACCAAGGACAGTCCGACAACAAACATTAAAATGAGAAAACACTTAAGCAAGACACAAGGACATGCCGTTGATTTGGAGCTGTTTTCTCTGATGTTATGAAGATGAGAATGTCTGTGGGTCATTAGAGACACAGAAGCTAGGGTGCAACTATATCAGGAAGATTTGAGTGATAATCCAGAGGATAAACCAAGGACAGTCCGACAACAAACATTAAAATGAGAAAACACTTAAGCAAGACACAAGGACAGACTTCCAGTTCACCAATGGCAAACAGTAGGGCAAATGAGGATGAAAAGGCCAATAGTGAACCACCAGGACACCCTGAACTCAAAGCACAGGAAGTAACAAAACAGATCAATCAGGCTCTAGAAAAATTCAAAACAGAAATAATTTCTCAGATAACCATAGAGATAGTGAGCAAAATGGAAGTTGTGATTCGAGACTCTAGAGCAGAAACTGACAAAAAAATAGATGAGCTCAGGACCATGATAGAAGCCATGAAGGCCCAGCATAAGAAAGAAATGGAAACAATAAACGCCCAACATAGGAAAGAAATGGAATCCATAAAACAGATTCAAACAGA